ATATTAGCTCCCCCAATTTGCAATTGAAGTTCATTGTCTAGTCTGCGATTCCCAAATACCATAAATTTAGTTTTATCCAAATTCAGAGATACTATATTACTGTCACACCATTTCTTTATCTTCTCAAGTTCCTGTGTAACCCATCCAGAGAGTTGCTGTAGGTTTTCACCCGATGCCCATATGGTAGTGTCATCAGCAAACAAAACCACTTTCACTAAATCAGAAACCTTACATATATCATTAATATATAGTATAAATAATTTAGGTCCCAAAACAGAACCCTTCAGTCTACATACAGTATTTCTTAGATCTTTCAGCAGGCTTGACTGATTGGATATTTTGTTGTGTATTCAAAATGCCACACTTTTCAGTTTACCTCCCCAGTTCCTAGGACCTGATAAATCAACCCCTTCTTGAAAAAACAAGTTTTATCTTATTGTTTTTCTTGGCAGCAAATAAGTCTTAAAGTAAGAATGTAGAAAAGGCAAGTATTCAAACCTAATAAACACAGGCTGATATGACACTGAGTCTTACAAGTTGACTCCATAGTGGTGCCTCCTAAAATTTCTGAAGAACTGTACAGTCACTGGCCACTTTATTAGGTACACCTGTACATTTGTATGCACTCAGTGCAACACCTCTGCCTTAAAATCTGTGTTTATGAAACTCAAAATGTTTCGGTTTTTGGTGAAATTGTCATAAATGTATAAATTCAATTATATGTTTATTATTATTATTATTATATTCTGAGGTGTTTCTATATTTATTTTATATTTATGAACACCTCTGAAATTAATTATTTTGTAAGGGTCAAACTATCATGGTAATATTGCTTTTAAGTGTAATGTCATTATAGGGAAACTAATCTGCCTTGGCGGAGGTTAGTACCCTTTGAATGCTGTCTCTATCCCATAATTTTGACCTTTTGCCTCAAAATCTTTGTCAAAATGTACACTCTTGCTTTCGGTAGATAACCACGTGACTGCGAGCGGACAGTGGGTGGGGGCGGAGCTAGAGCCGGTGCCCACTTCCGCGGTGGGTCTTTCGCCTGATTTGTAGTTTAACGGAGCGTACTGCGCAGTCGTGGCGTCAACATTAGTTTTACGTAATGTCAGTATAATACCAAAACATTCTAATCCAGAAACATTAAGATGAATTTAATAAGCGAATAAACGCATTGATCTTGTAGTTTAATATAAGGATATTCATCAAATTCCATACGAGGTTTTTTATTGTTAAAAAGCTAGTTGGCTGTTAGCTCAAGTTAGCTGTTGTTGAAATGATTTTCTTAGCAAGTTAGAGGACCGTCAGGTGTAACAGTCAAAACGTTTATTCGTATCTCGGCGAAAGGTGGTATGAGATTATGGTTTCTGATGTGAGCGAGAAGATTAAACTGAATCAAATCACCTAGTTAACTCATTAGCAACACTAGTTAGCTCTGTCTACGAGTTATTCGTTGAGACTCCTGGTAAACGCCAGAAGGCCTGTGTTGTTTTATTTAAGAGCTTTTTGGTTGGCTGCGTTACTGTATTTCAAGCCTGGATGCTGTTTAAAGCAGCCTTTCCTATGTAAACCACGCCAGACCCTGCTAGATTGTATCATCTTTCACTCTTACATCGCATTATCTCTCTTTCAGAGAAATTAGGTCAAAGACTTCAAGCTCCCGAATCAGCAGGCAGAAGTCAACTTTCCTTTGACCAACATCATCTCTGGGATAATAGCTACAGTGAATAGGACTGGGGTGGTATCAGCGCCCCCATTTCCTCATCAGACCACTGCTACCTCTTGGGTAAGGCTTAATAGATACTGTTATTGAATGTAGGCCTCTTGTCTTACTGTTACTCATGGCTATAAACTTTTAAATATCTTACTATCAAAAGGGAATATTTAAATGACTGTGGTGTTGGTAATTATGCAGAGAAAGTAGGTGGAACATTGTTAACAGCCTTAATGTGGATGTTATGGCAGTTTACTGTGATTGTGTTTGATCTCTGGTACATTTTGTAGCTTTCCACCCTGATGCTGGACAAGGTGTAATAATGTAGTATGTAGCTTTTTTGTTGCTACTATTTGTTGTCTTTTTTGCTGTACAACACTATTTGCAGACCTCTAGAACTACAGAGAACGCTGGAGCCCAACATTGTTCTCTGTTTTATTCTGGAAAAACAGATATGCAGTCAGGGCTCAGGTGACAGGTTTAAGCAGCAGTAGCTAAAGGAAACAAGGTCATATGCTAAATTACGCAATCTCATACAAGGCATTTTTGTATTCCTTGATCAAAAACTGCACCAACCTACCTAAAGATGTAATAAAATGTTTTCAAGATTCACTAACATAAGTGCAAAGTGATGAAACTTAAATATGACTGATACCATATGATTCTAATGTGAATATAATGCTACTATGATGTCTTCTACTGATTTTTATGGTGAACCAACTGGCAGACAAGAACACAGCACTAATGTCAGCAGAGAAGATGGAGACCACAGAAAGTGTGCCAAATGGAGAAGGACCTGTGTATGAGGAGAAAGAGGACACTCTCAGGTAGATCTCCCAGTAATACTGTAGCATGTTTTCCTTCAAAGAGTGGACAGTGTGAAATATAATTACTATAAGGAACCAAGGAGGTTCATGAAAAGGCTGAGAACACCCAGTTTGTGAAGGACTTTCTTAGGGGCCGCATTCGCAAAGAGCTCTTCAAGGTCAGTTTGAAGGAATTTAGGGAGAAACTGTTAGAATTTAATGTTATAGAATGCTTAATTAAATAAAAAAATGTAAATAAATTAAATATACATCTAGGTGAAATAGAAGCAGAAAAAACTTGAACAAGGAAACAACCTAGATTTCAAACATGTTCTTTCTTACTTCCCCAGCTTGGTGCCGTGGCACTCTACTACACTTACACAGCCATGGAGGAGGAGATTGAAAGAAACAAGGACCACCCCGACTTTGCCCCACTTTATTTTCCTGCAGAGCTGCACCGCCATGAAGCTCTGGCTCGTGATCTCAAGTATTTTTATGGTCCAGAATGGCAGAGCCAGGTCAGCTGCTCCCAGGCCACTCAACGCTATGTGGATCGTATCCACCAAGTAGGGCAGGAGGACCCAGTGTTGCTAGTGGCCCACGCCTACACCCGCTACATGGGGGACCTCTCTGGTGGCCAGGTGCTGAAGAAGGTGGCGCAGAGAGCCTTGAAGCTTCTTCCCACAGGAGAGGGCTTGGAGTTCTATCATTTTGGTGCCATCCATAGTGCCAAAGCTTTCAAGCAGCTGTACCGCAGTCGGATGAATGAGCTGGAACTGGACATGGAAACAAAGAAAAGGCTGGTGGATGAGGCTGTCAAGGCCTTCCACTTCAACATGGAGGTGAGAGGAGATGGCGAAGGAAAGGAGGGTGGAGAACTAGAGAGAAGAATAATTCTGTTTTTGCAAACACTAGTGAGTGGATCTGTTCCTTGTAGGTGGTGGAAGTGAAGAAATAGTTACCTTGTGCTCTTGGCCTTGCCCAGCCCCTCACTTCTTTCCTCTCTGTCTTTCAAGATGACTTTTCTGCTCATTCTCAGTCTTGTCCTCCTCCCTCTGTTTTGCACTGAGCAGCCTTCATTCTTCTCTTCCTCCCCTCCCTTATTCTCTTCATCATCTGTGCGCTGTTTCCTCTCTCTTTTGTTCCTCTGTCTCCACTCCTTATATGTCAGACCCAGATTTGACACCATCAGGTTTTGATCTGAAACATGGATGATTAGAGAAGCCTTTACTTTCTGCTGCTGCTTGTCAGGATATAATATCCATAAACAGTTTTTAGAATAAAGTTTTTACAGCAAGCTCTATAATCTCATATATGTTTGTGCTGGCAGGTGTTTGAGGAGTTGGAAGAGATCGGCAAAACCATCCAGGAGGATGTTTTAGATGCTGGCATGCCTGTCCATGGGGCCATGGGGGGAGACATCAGCAAATGTCCCTACTATGCTGCCAAAATGGGTACGATTATTATTATTATTGTTAATTTTTAACATCTCTCTGTATGATGCCATTGTAAATGACATTTTTAGGAGGATCTTTTTTATGCTTGTTTACTGTTTTTGTGCTCCCAGCGGCGTCAGGTGGAACAGCATATGCCTGTCAGCTCGCCATGGCCGTACTCCGACACCCAACAGGACAGGTCCTGTTTGCTACCTGGTTTGCTGCTCTGGCTGGATTGGCCGCATGGTATCTGATGTGATCCGGTCTTTAGCCTGTCATTCTTCTGCTTTGAGGGAGAGAGGAAGTAGAAATCTACACATTTCCCACAAGCTGTAGACCACTTCAGAGTTTCATACAAACATTTTTAAGGGATCCAGATTTATTTATTGTTACACATTTGCTAATGATGGAAACTGACAGGAAATAAGATGGAATTCCATTGATAGACATTAGGACAACTCCATGCATCCATTACACCAATTTCTCCTCAAAATTGTTTTATTTCTCTACCTCCTTTGTAATGTCCCCCCCATGCATTCAGGGTCTATCGCAGCACCTTCTGTCATGTCTGTCACCTTTTTGTCATGGAAACACAGTATGAATAACTAATTTGCTGTACAATTACATTTTCCCCCAGTTTTAAATGTAATTGTCAGATAGATTGAGTGTAGTGACTTTTTGTACAGTTCTTTTATTTAATTTATTTGGCCATGCAGCACCACATTGGCTGATAATGAACTATGTATTATGAGCTTACTAAAACATGCGGATATACTACGAATAGGTAATGCATGGGTGGACTAACACAGTAGGTTTTATGCTGGACAGACTTCTGTGTTGATTTTTAATGAAGTGTTTGTGTTTTTGCATTGAAATATCTTAATTTGACTAGGGAGAGGAAGCAGTGAACAATTTGGGTATAACAGGTCATTTATTTGTAAATGTAAACTTAGAAATAGTATCTATGTGCAGTATTAGTTTAGCTTCTACCCATTGACTGTTCTAAATTTAATGTAAAAACACAGCACTGCAGTAATGTTCTTTTTGAAACTCCATTATCACGTCATGATTCATACTTGGCCTCAAATATTTCTAAAAACGTACATTCACTGTGAGACGGGTGATAGGAAACAAAAGCTTTTTTTTTCCCCCAAAGTATAGCACACCTATGGCTTTAAGATATTTGTGAATACACCATGCATGTTCAAATGGACAATGTTTGTTTCAGAGGTCATCTTGCAGTCATAAAAAAATACTGGCTGGTTTTAATTTAAATGTTTGGCTTAAAGCTACTCTAACTTCTCAAAACACATGCACACAATAAGCTGCTCTTTGTCCCTCCATCACGTCCTGTTTTCTGAGGACTAGCAGACTTTTAGCTGCCAAGGACTCCTCCATGGTTGGGTGTTTGAAATGACTACTTACGGTTCGAAGAACAATTCTCATAACCTTTGCTAGGTGGTGGGGTGTTGGTGGAGTATAGCTGAGAGTCCTGTCTTCATTTGATTTATTAGCTATAGATGAATGCACTGCTAGTAGGAAGTGCTAACAAAGGTGTTGGTAGTTTTTTAAGGAAATTGTCTTTCTGTAACATTAATAATTTGTCTGCATACTCATAACAGGCATCTACTTCATCTACATGGACTAAATATGTCTGAGTGTCGTGGTTTATTATGAACTACTTGGACTAACTAGTTAGTAATAGGTAGGTCCTTCAACACCTCTGCTTTTGTTTATACTGTATGTTTGCTATGGATGTAGCAACATCCACAGTCACTGTACCTATACTCATTATTCATACTGTGTGTTGGGAATCGGTTCCCAGTAGTGCATAGCCGCATACATGAGAAATATTTTGTGCTGTGCGCGCTCTATGCAGTATAATTGCACTTTTTTTGCGGTTGAAGTTTATATTTATCCTTACAAAGTAAAGACATTTCATTAACTTTGCTGAATGTGCAGTATTCCTCTTCTAGCAAAGCTCATTCCAGGAACAGGACAACGGCTGTAGTGTGGTTGTTTGATCACAGATGTGACGACCTAGGTGATGATGTGTTGTGTATTTGAGAGTCTCGGGTTCATGTTGCATTCTGATGGCAACAGTGCATTGCATATGGATGGCTAACATGGGGGCTGCCTGACATACATGAGTATTTCATTCTTCTGGTGTCATTGTGATGTGTCAAAATGCTTCAGTGTTTTTGGATATACTGAAGAGATACTTCAGTCTCAGGAGTCAAGGTAGTTTTGGCAACTGATCAAACCATAGATTAACATGAAGTGGAATGCTTGATTAATTCATGTTGATTCTGAATTCTCCTGCTTTTGTGTATCTAATTGGACAAAGCTTTATTTGCCACCGACTACTGTCACTGTATAAGTGAAAATCTGAAGTATGTTGTATTGTCTGTAATGAAATAAAAATCCCCTTTCCCACCACCAAGATCACTTCTTAATTCTGGAAGCCGGTTATTTTAGTAATGATCCATCTTATACAAAACAGAAAACGCTACCACACTGGTCCAAACAAGACAAGTCAGCTCGTGTTACAAAGAATATGCACAGAAGACCAGTCTGAGAATAACGCTGATAGATTTATTTATTTAAAAGTAAAAATGTAGGCCATTAATTACAGCTATGCAAATCCGCATAATCGAATAGATCAGCTCTGCAATAATCTTACATGTGTGTTTATAATGTTCAGACTTGGTTGGAGGTAATTTAGTGGTGTATTGGGTTGCATGTTACCATTTCTAAATAAAGGTGAACAATACAGATATTAAGCATTCTGAGTACTATTTGTTTAGTGACTTCTATGAAACCGGCTTTTTCCACACCAGTTTTATTATTGCTGTATAGTATCTTTGACATATTTATTTGTTCATTTCATTTGTCTATCTACAAAATGTAATTATGGTTCAGAACTCCCAAGTCATTTCTCTATTATAGTGTGAAGGGTTAAACAGGGACAGATCAGAGTTGTCAGTGTTCATGGTTCAGGAAAGCCTGACCTTTCCACAGCTTAATCCTCAATCAGAGAGTGGACACCGACTATTCACTGCAGACACTTCTACACTGTCCCACCTTACACCCAAAGGTAAATGTAGTCATGATGATACTCACTTTCTAAGGACTGACAGTGCTGAGGATTGCAGGAGAAATTCAAGCATTCATGAAAACACAAACTATACAGAACAAAGGACTAATAAGAGGGCCACTTAATCCTGAATAAAACATTTGACTGTATCTGTGGTCTCTCAATACAATAATTTATTTCTGTGCATAGATTCTGTTATCACCGTCATGTTTTTCTTAAAGCAATCAACAAAAAGCCAACATGCAATAACTGTTATGATAAATGACAAGTCTTCAAAGCCAAAACAGGCTCAATGGACATTTAGTAGATGCATGTGATGCACCAGAACATCCTCTTCTTTGTTCACTGAAGGGCACAACAGGTAGGTAGGTCCATACTGATCCACCCAGAACCCTTGTAGGTCTTATCCAACACCCAATTCTCCTTAAACCTCCATCCTCTTTATTATAATGAGACTGTCTTTTCTTTACAGTGTCCTCCTCTCTGCCCTCTGACATGCTGATGGAGCCTATGAGTTCCAGGATCTTTTACCTTGAAGAGGAAGAACAAAAGAAAATGGTTGTAGAAAGGAGTCTGTAAAACTTTAAAACAGCAAGGTGGTGTCAGTTTAAAATGCAGCTGAACAGAAAGATGCAGAAGAGACATTTTTAGGAGATCTCAGAGGGCTAGAAAATCAGCTGAACACAGGGGGTGCATGCCTCAGTGATTTTATGATAGCTACCAACCAGATGAGGTGCTGTGAATAAAATGTTAATCACTTGGAATAGGTCAGCGGTATTCCTACCTGGTTTTGTGGCTGTCAAGAAGAACTAAATTTATTTAATTTGGGACCCCCCCCACTCCGTTTCAATTCTCCTACTTGTCATGCTTGCTTTCCCCTTTCTTACAGCACCTACCAATTCTGCCCCCACCTGGACAGACATTAACACTGCATCAGCCAAATTTACAACTAACAGTTTGTTCACCGAAACCCCACCTCAGTAGATCAGGGATGCAGACTAAAGGAATAGAAAAACAGATAGGTAAGGGGCAAAATAAGTTCATAGTGGGACTTTTTCCTCTTACCTGTGCTGGTGGCAGTGACGCCGCTCACTGTACCCTCTACATCTGTCTCTTCCTCAGCATAGCTCATTAGCAAAGCTCTCTGTCTGTCCGTCAGCACCCTGTGCGCACGCACACACACACACACACACACACACACACACACAAACAAACTTATCTAAACAAGCCATTTATGGTCCTTGTGACTGCATAAAGTTTTGTAAATCTAATTTCTTCTAGACTACAACACGTTTATCATCAGGTGGTAAAAATGCCAGTTTACTAAGATGAACGAGTTGTGTGTTTGTCTGTGGAGTCTTACTTGGGTATTTTTATTTTGACATGGACATAGTGGTCTCCAAAGCCATAGCCACTGACACGAGCAATTCCCTTCCCTGTTAGTCGGATCCTCTGGTCTGTCTGGACGCCTGCAGGGATCTGAAGATGGAAAAAAAAAAACACCAATCAGTTATTAACTTTATCTTTATCTTCAGTTTGCATGTCATTGTGTGTTTCTCATTAGCTGGGAAACCTGAGAATGTTATGTGTCTACTTACGGACAAGTTAAGTGTTTCATAAAGGCCCTGTGTTCTGGCTGTGCCACCCAGGATGGCTTGTGCCACAGAGACATGAAGGTCAGAGTGGATGTCTGCACCATCCCTCCTGAACACAGGACTTTTTTGGACCTAGGACACCAAACCAGAACACATTTCAATCAATCACATGCTATATCAGGCTTGGGTTTGATGTGAGATCAGTCACACATACTAGCAACTGATGTAGATACCCACCCGAAATGTGATGAAGATCTCCTTCTTACTAACTGGCATTCTGACTGTTTGACCGTCCTCGACTCCTTAAAGCAAAATCAAACCAGAGTTAGGTGGTGTACACAACCTATGAAACCCTCACTGCTTGTAGAAACATGGGCAGAAGCACGGCAACATTTCATACATCTGCATCAAAGCAGACAGGGTAACTTTTCATGGCCATTAACATTGATGAGAAGAAACTAACAGGCATTTACTGTACGTTATCAAGCCCAGACAAAAGTGTGACTGACCTGCAGGCACAGGAACCACCACAGTCTTCTTCTGCTTGGTCTGTCCTGTCCCATGGCAGGTATGACAAGGGGTGGAAATGACTGTGCCTTTGCCGCCACAGCGTCGGCATGTGGATCGCATCACAAATGGGCCTGTATTCACCGTCTCCTACAGGTGGGAACAGTACATATGTTTTGTAATCAAACACATACACAAAGGTTAAGAAAGGCAGCGTGTCAGAGCCCTTACCATGCCAGAGCCGTTGCAGTGGTGACAGTGCTGGACCTTGGTGCCTGGCTCGTGGCCCTTACCATCACAGTGCTGGCAGGCTGCTTCTATGTTAACGGACATCTCTTTGTTGACTCCCTTTGCTGCCTGAGTGAATGTCAGCTCCATGATGTACTGTGCCAGAAAGAGAGGGAGCCATAAATTAATCACTCAGAATATGCCCCAATAGCCCAGTGAGAATCAAACACAAAATCAGTATCCCACTAACTTCCTGTGGCTGATCAAATATGGCATTGAAACCTCCAAAGCCACGGCCTCCTGAGAACTCCCCAAAGATCTTGCGGAAGAGCTCCTCAGGGTCCACGCCACTGGACTGTCCAGTCCAGTAGTGCTGCCCTCCACCTGCCTGGCCAGCATCAAAGCCTGCTGAGCCATACGTGTCATACTGCTTCCTCTTTACATCATCACTCAGCACCTTAGAGAACCGTGAGGAAAGGTTCAAGAGGTTACTTTGTCATTCTGAGACTGTGTAAAGTCTAAGAGACTCATTGCTGCTTGTAGATTTAAAAGAAATCACTTAAGGGAAACAAATATACAGTAGATGCGGCAAGTGAAAGCTTGACTAAAGACAGAAACCAAACCTCATAAGCTTCAGCCAGCTGAGCAAATTTTTCCTTGGCTTGTGGGTCATCTTTGTTGGTGTCAGGGTGGTACTTTTTGGCCATCTGAGGGACAACAAACACACTCAACTATTGTGATGACTGGTCAATTATAAACCAACACAAACTGTGTGTGTCAGGAAGGAACAGACCTGATAGTATGCTTTTTTGATCTCTTTCTGGGATGCTGTGCGAGGTACCCCAAGGATCTGGTAAAAATCCTGCTTGGCAGTTGGGGCACTTGTGTGAAAGGACAGTGTGCAGATAGCATGGGGTGATTTGAGACCTGAGAGGTGTCCAAAGAGAGTGAAAGGGTAAGTAAATACTATTTAGAAAAGCAGACCTGCATGTACCATACAGTTCTGGTACAGCTAAATTGGCTCATTTTATATGTCTGCATTATTATTATTTACTGAATAGACGTTATTGAACCTGGATGACATCTTTGCAAAGCACAGGCCTGAACAAATCTGGTTACGTTAACTCATTTTGCAATTCAATCTTTGGCTCCCCTTGAGCTTAGATAATGGTTAAAGTCACAGATGCAGAGATGATTGATTGGGGTTCAAAAAAAGCTAAGTGGAAATACACTATGCACACTAAGTCGAATAGCTCATAGATTATAACGCAAAACTGCAAATTCAACTAAATGGCTAGCTACAGCCCGAAGTTAGCAGAACTGCCAGAATCACATTATGTCAACTATGTCTACAGAGTTAAAAAATGCTACGTCAGAAGCTCCTGTTATTTTAAATGCTCGTTTGAGCCGGTGGCAAGGTAAGTTTACTTAGCTGCCTTACCCATCGTCATATGAGCAAACCAGAAGCCTAGCCTAAGCTAGGCTAATACCATATGGCTAATACACAACTCACCTGCCAGCCCTCTCAATGTCAACGCTTTCCCTGCTTCGCAGCACACCAGGTTCTCTCCTCGCCACAGTTTTCCCGCTCCCAGTGTCGAAACACTGCGGACCCCTCCATGACCAGAGCAGACAACAGCACCGGCAACCCGGCGATGTCCAGAGGACACGATGACTGTAATCCATCGTGAGGAACATCGAACAGCCGAAGACGCCATCATTGCCTCACTAGCCGCCGCTTCGAACACAGTGCGCATGTCTGCGAAAAAGTGGGCGTCACCGATAGTGCAAAGATATTCTATATGATTCAAGATCATGCTCTCTGAAGAAAAACGAAGTGCAAAAGCTTGTTTTAGATTTTACTGCTTCTGTTTATAAAGTGAACGAGTGGCTTCAGTAAACATTAATAGCGGCTAAGTAAAAGTAATCAAACATCATCAGTTTCATCTTACAAACAACCATTACAACTGACAAGTTAAAAGGGGTGCACATGTTTTAACACCCGGGTTAGCACGTGAAAAAGCAGGGTGTTCTCTTGTGGTTGAACATAAAAACCCCGCCCAATCGGACAGCGCTGGGGAGCAAAGCGAATAGATACCGTGCGGAGCTGTCAGCTGCATCAGGATCCCTCTGCTGAGTACTAACTAGCTTGACAGAGACACCCGGAAGGCACGAAAGTAATTTTGAGAGTGCGGAATGAATCGCTTTAAACCCTCCAAATTCAAGAACACCACTCCGAAAATTGCAAAGAAAGATGTGAGTATCTCACGAGCGTCTGATTAGGGCCAGTTTCCCTATCGCTAACATTAACATTAGCACTGGTTGATAGCTGTGCTACTTCAGTGGTGTTTTGGGGGAACGCCTGCTTGCCTGCAAGAGATGTTGAACTTCCTGCATCTGGAAGGCAGCTTAGTGTTGAGATAACTACACGAATATCTGAATCCACCACTATTGATAAGAAACTAGTGAAAACCGTGGATACATAGCTGTTACCACTGGATGTTTCGATGACACCCATCATAATGCTATTATGTTACAGCTATCATTGTTGTATGTTTCTCACGTGCACACCTGGCGGAAACTGTATCTGCTCAGATTTTCTTTCTCAGTTAAAGGGAAAGATAAAAACATGAAAAGCCAATTGGATAAGTCGTATGATTATAATGATGCTTCTCCGTCAGAGGCAACTGTCCTGTAGGTTACAAGAGGCGGCTTGTCTGGACGGGACTGGAGCGTCTTGCAGACTAATCTACCATTTTTTTCATTCTCTGGACTAATTTGTTTAAAGTTGCTACGCCTGTAGCTCTCCTTGCTGAGGTGTATTATGTAATCCAACGTTGTTTTTACCAAGGCGGAAAAAATGCCTGGCATATACAGAGACAGTGGAGATTCTTGGTATTGCTTCAGTCTGTACACAGGATTTGAAACAGCAGTTGGTGCTTTGCTGCTGTCAGTGTTAGACCAGCTCTTTACACCATAGACAACGAATATGTGGTTTTGAGTTTTCCAGTACTGAAGTCATGTGAGAGAGGCTGTCAAACACTGGCAAATGACAAAAAGTGAGATGGGAGACAGGTGATCCAGAGACAAGCAAGCACAGATGAATAGGACATTTTCTCCTCAGATGATGCAGACCAGATGGAGTTTTCCAAATGGTGAGAGAGAGTCCTGACAGCAGTACTTACATAATTTAGTCAGCTTTCATTTTGCTGGCGTTGAGGATTTCTATTATAGCCCCCTGAACATGGCCTTTGGCACCGAGGCTCACTGTAGTCATGGTCGCCTGTGGATGGAGTCACACCAAAAGCTGTTTTCCATTTAAACCTGAAAACAATGCTCAAGTGCAGAAAAACATACCAGATCACGTACATTGATCCAAAATGATCTTTAAAGGGATGAATATCCTTTTATTTAATTTATTAAAGGGACAAGCTTTTTTCATTTGGGACGTTTATCTAAAGTGAAGCATTTAGTTTCTTTGAATTACTTTTGAACGAGCTGTCCATGCTCTCATTAGCTCTAGACTTGTATATTGTAATGCTCTGTTTACTGGTATCCCCTCAGTACTTTTGTCTAAACTCCAGTTAGTACAAAATTCTGCAGCCTGTCTCTAAGCAGGTGCTCACAAATGGGAGCATATAACTGATTTTATGTGCTTAAATCAAATGAAGTTTAGGATTGTTAATTTTTAGGGGTCTACCTCCTATACCACATGGATGTAAGTCTCTCACACCACCAAAGCTGTTTCAGCCATGAAGTTGTCCTCTGCAGACCAAACGTGTGTTGTAGTTGCTCTCTGCCAGTTTTTTGAGGAGCAGCACAGCAGTAGTTGTGAGCATGTTGTACACACACACAGTGTTCTTGCTACTCCGGCCTTGTAAATGTTATGAAAGAGTTCTCTGCTGTGCAACACGGGGAGTCCTTCCACTTCCTCACTACTCCTTCAGACACTTCAGTGTGTTCTCAGCTCGATCCTTCCTGTTTATGTCTGTTTTACTTTCGTTGTTACAGCAACTTGGTTGTGTGGGCTCTCTACTACCATGAAACGGATTGTTGTTCATCGCTTGTTCATCATTGGTGTGCTCTGGTGGATACATGCCTAGTGAACTGTTAGGATTCTCCTTATTAGTCAAGTTCCACCATGCTGTTGTCTGATGAAATACTTATTTCCCTCTCCACTATGTTGTCCCAGCTATCTCTGAGCATTATCATATCTCTGTTTCATCCACTTTGTTGTGTTCTCTGTGTCTTTAAATCCAGGGATGGATCAACAATGTTCGGACTGGTTCCTTCTCCTGCCAGGGGAACCATATCAAAGCGAACTCCAAGCTGGTGGCCTTCAATACCGAGCAGGCTGGTAAGGCCAGAAAAGTGTCGTTAAGAGTTTGCTTCATGCAGATGGAAGAATCCCCAGTCAAAAGTTGAATCCCCATGTCCACATTTAATAATAGGTTCAGAACAAGAAGAAGGCTGAGTCAAGTTGCAATCAAACACAAAGCAGAACCAAAAGAAGAGATTTTGTTTACTGAAGGGTCATTGTTTTAAAAGATATTTTAATGAAGTTATAAATCCTATTAGATCCACAGTGAGCTGGGAGCCAGTTTGAGATTTTGAGGCACAGGTTTGGACTATCAGAACTCAGGTAGCACATCATTAAAGCATGATAGATGATATTGTATGTTTACCTTTGATGGTTCCTGTTTCTGCAGGTGGAGGTATGCTGGGCCTGTCTTCAGTCAAACCCGGCTCAGATGGCCAATGGACAGTCGCCCAGATCTCCTGCCATTCTGGTAGTTTTTCTTACATCATTGTTCAGATTCATTCATTATTTGTTCATTTGTTCTTATTGTTGTTTTTATTGGGGAAGTAATGTTTTGTTTTTGTTGGTTTTGTTCAGTGATATTTGATTTTGTGGTGGGGATTGTTGTTGTTGAGTCTTTGTGCCTGTATTGTTTGTGTGTTTGAGCTGTTCATTGCCGTTTATTTGCTGATGGTTTTTTAAATTTTTACTTGCTGTTGATTGCTATTATTGTTCATTACCATTTGTGTGTCTGTGTTGTTTATTATGTTAAGTTTTTGTTCTGTGTTGACGACGAGATGGGACGTCTCAAGGAGCTTGTCCTCCGATCAGTTTAAATAAATAGATTTTTGTCGCACACCTCTGCTGTCCCACACCCCCTTCCCTCTGCATAAATTCTAACCCTTAAGGACAGCATGGTCTCTTTCAAAAAACATGAATTCACGAAAAATGCAAATACTTTTGTTCATGAATTAAATTAAGTTAGAAAGCTGTGAACCAGATCAAATTTTTATTTTCTGTTTGTTTCTCCTCCTCTCTGCCAGATCTAGTGACTGATATGGACTTTTCTCCTTTTGATGAGCATCTCCTGGCAACATGCTCTGCAGATGAAATGGTGAGCTCTTCAGTGCCCTCTTTCTTTCTTTCTTTTGTTCCTTCTTTCCTTTTCTGTCTTCCTTGTATTGATCTTGCTTTATCTTGTTGCAGTATACTTGCACTGAAGTCTCAGGAGTGGTGTTATTCCTCACAGGGCTTTTAAATGCCATGTGAACCTCCCTTGGTGTTTGCAATTCATGTCTTTTGAAGACTCGGTCCTCTCAGCACATTATCCTCAACCACTGGTGTCTTGGCTTACTGGAATCTGCTGAGTGTGGGTTTGCATCTTCAGACTCAGTAGTGTGGTTTACCTCAGCTACCTTTGTGAACACACAGTTATTGCTACACACAGACCTACAGCACACACCCTGGAATGGTCTGCAGCATTTCTCTTAACAGATCCCAGGAGGATAGATGGTTTCACCAGCTTAGTGGTGCTGTCGTCTCTTAACAGATCCCAGGAGGATAGATAGTTTCACCAGCTTAGTGGTGCTGTCAGCGTCCTTTTTCTTAAACATGTTCTCATCTCTGGGTATGATGCTGCATCCTGATATTGTCGTTTTGTCTGGTATGGCTTTAAACACCACTTGTCTGAATTTAATTTTCCCCATCTCTGTGTGTACAGGTGAAGCTGTGGCGTTTGTGTGATCCAGAGCAGGAGCAGCCCGGCAGTCCAGAGCTGACTCTCCGTCCAGGTCGGGGCCGGCTGGAGGTGGTGCACTTCCACCCCACCTCCTCTGGCTTGCTGGCCATAAGCACTGCTAAGTCTCCTCTGATTTGGGACATCAGTTGCCAAGATGCACCACTAGCAGGTATCTATAGCTGGCAACATGGGCTGCACGTTTCACACTCATTTGTTTTTGTGTACAGTTCAAATTAGAGTTCACATTACAGAAAATTATTTTGTCTTTGCTGTACATCCTGCACTGTCTGTTACATTTAACATTTCAGTCTCTGTCAGTTAGTTTTCAAGTTTTGTTGTGGTCTGTTTTGACTCTGTTTGTAACATGAATATATATTTAGAGTGGAGTGAAGTGGTTGGTTTCCTTTCTTTCGGTGGGGACTGTCTGACTGACGCTGCCTACGTTTTACAGCCCTGTGGCTCTGTCTAAGTGCCGGAGCAGCAGAGGTAATGTTTTGACTTGCAGTCCTGGTCCCAGTCTCCCCGGACTGGCCTCAGGATATAGTCGCTATCCTCTGGCCTCACCTCCCCAACACACAAACACTGCACCCCCTTCCCATGACAGTTAGCCTGGCTGATGCTGCTCACTGCTGACCCAGCCTTTCATGAACTGTACCCTCACACTGTCTTTCATCACCTTCATATGTGGTTAAGGAACGATGAAAACCTATATTTGAATGAGAATGTGTTTGGGTTCTTATTTTTTCCCATTTACTGTTGAGATTCACTTCACTTCACTTTGTGTGTAACTGTCTTAACAAGTACACCTCTAATCTTGTTTCATCTGTTTGGTGTCACAGTGAAACTGAACAATTCACATGAGCTGCGCTGTGCTCACTTATAGCACTGCAGTCTAATACCTGTCATGCTCATATGCCTCAACTCTAAGGACATATGATTCGTTATTTGTTGTAAACCATCCCTGGTTTAGTGTGTTATTGAACATGTTCTAAATTTGTGTGACTTCATTTTTCACCTGCGTTTTTCTTGTAGTGACCAAGTGGTGTTTTTTGTCTTGTCTGTGCTGTGCTGTCATTCTATGTTCATTATTTGTATTCTGCTTTTTTTTCCTAAATAGTTTCAACTTTTCCTTTTTTTTTTGTCCTTGTCTGACATGAACACCTTGTCTCAGTCCTTTCCTCTTCTTGCCTCCTTTAATGATGGTGTGTGTGTGTGTCTACAGTTCTGGAGCAGCACAGTGATCAGCTGCAGAGTCTGAGCTGGAAACAGGACGGCTCCCTGCTGGCTTCCTCCTGCAAGGTGAAGACAACTTGCACCGCACCAGATGAATAGTGCAGTGACCTGCATGGCTTCACCTTTTAATTTTAAAGCTTGACAAAGTGTAGTTGCAGTTTGTGACCGCTAGATGCAGCCAGTGGCTCACATTAGGTGCAGCATGTCTCACACTGGATGCTGCTGCCCCTAATCTATTTATATGGGGTTTATCGCATCAAAATGTCAGCAGGGGTGATGCTCATAAAAAGGGTGGGGTGGTCACATCACACAATCGATTCCGAATTATTGAGTGGTTCTTTAGGGAAGAAAAGAATATATTTGGAAAACCTTATGATGTAACAGCTGTGAAAGCTGGTTTGTTTTAATACAGTAATAATGATGACAAAGCAGTTAAAGAAATCTTCACAGAGCTAGAATGGCTTTTGATTACATTAATATTTGGTGTAGGAGGAGAAAGAGGGAGGCTGTTTGTGTTGATGAGTAGGGAGCTGAGGTAGAATTGTTTCATCAGTATAGCTGGTTAACTCTCAGATCGTGCGCTACAGTAAATCCTCCATGCATTTGCCTCCTTTTTGAAAGCCCACATAGACTGATGTAAAAATGAGACAGAGGCCCCTTGTGTATACTTAGACAATGCACAATGTGTTTACTTGAGACTGAATAGAATTTGACACAGAACTCTTCCACATGTGTCTACTTAACAGGCATGATTGTCAGTCAAGTCCCCCTTGTTTGTCTTTGGTCTGATGACTAACAAATTACTCTGCCCTTCTCAGGCTGTGTCCAAATCATGACATTTATTTTGACAGGATAATCATCCTTACCAGAGCTACTACCATCATCCTCAATGGAGCCTGAAAGAACAAGGCACCTGAAAAGAAAGAGAACTGGGGGGGGTGAGCCAAGATCAGGGGGCTTTTGCCCTGTTGGGCTCTGGTGTCATTTAACCCAAAAGGCTCCTTTCAATCTCTACAATCCCGCTTATTAAAGCAAACAGGACCTGCCAACATGTGCATCCAATCCACAGGCCATCCCACAGGATAAACACTTGGGCACAGGGGAAAGATGAAGGTGAAACCACTACTGCAAACCATGACAGGCCTTGTTTGGACCTAGAGAGATGTATATTTATGGCACACTTTGCAGGAGGAAGGTGCCATTTAGTCTAAAGGAGGGAAACCATAGGCAGTACGAGCAGAGATGGAGGAAACCCTGTGTTTATCTAAATGATGAACAGGGCAGGGTGGTGTGCTCTATTTATGGTCCACCTTGAATTTTGAAAATCACATCAAGCTGAACTCTATGCCCTGTTTCTCAGAATGCAGTGAGTAAGATAGAATAAAGTATGAGAACATCCTGAAGTCTCAAACTGATGATCACAGCAGGCTTTGACAGTGGTAACCACGGGAGGCTGGCAGCGCAGCGTGTTTGATGAGTGAAGAGAGCATTCCTG